TGTGATGAAGGGAGAAATGAGTAATCCAAAGACACTTCTAATTTCCCTTTTTTAGTGCCAGGGATCAATTTAACCTGAACTCTGTTTTACATGGCTTAAGTGTCACAATCTGACACTCCAGAAACAAGACGCAAAAAATGTCTGTAGAGATTCATCAGTCTCTTTTGCACACACTAAATGGGAGGAACCATCAGGCAGAGGCTGAGAGATTTTGAGCTGGGGGGTTTTTGGTAGCATAGAGGTCTTTTAAGTAGTCATGACATAAGCAGATTTCATCAGTCTACATAAAGATGATATAAGCAGATTTCATCAGTCTACATAAAGCCAGGTAGTTTACCTGGAGGTAGAACACATCTTTATTTCTTTCATACGTGAAAAAGACTGTAGAAAAAGAGTAAGAAAACTGAGGAACATGGCAGTGGTAGCAGAGTGAGGAAGGAGAAGAACTAAACAAAAAGAACACAGTATAACTGTTTTAATGTTTCATATAACTCCATACTACTATTATTTAGCCTTTCTATTCTGTAAGTGTTAAGAGGCAAAATTGGAAGGACTTATCCTGAATGCATGCTTCACAGATGTATGAAATGTGATAGTCCTTGGCTGAAGAAGTTTATAGTAAAAAACAAGTTCTGTGTAAATAAAAGGAAACTCATAATAATCTAATTTATCCTATGGACATCTATAATGGACATTACCAAACCTTGTTGAGACTGTTATTAAAGGGGAAACATTAGTTCTGAGGATACTAATTACTGAGGAGGCTAAATTAGTCTGAGCAGGTATTTGGCTGGCAGATAACAGACCAAGGAAACTTAAAAGTAGTGCCAACAGTTGTCCTCTAAGTATTACTTCACTAACATAGTAATGACAATTTTTGGATGCAAAGACATGCATTTTTCAGTATCATTAAATGGAATAATGAGATCAACTTTATATATTCTTGCAGTTTTACTTTTAGTTGTTTAATTTGCAACAGGTAAGACTGAAGGAAGAAATTAATGCAGTTGCACTTGAATATAGAACAAAGTTCACGTAGTTGGTGGTAAAGGGAAAAGAGTTGTTTACTTTCACAATGTAAGACCCAGTGAGATCTCTCTGAAGGGAAGAATGAGAAATGAGAAATCTGGAAAATGTGAATCAAAGTTAAAGTAGGTATCATTGACATTTCTGTTTTTCTTTATTTTCTGATCCTGCCTGGAAAAGTACATAGCAATTCAGAAACAACCAGGCACAATTACTATAACAACGACTACATGTCCTGCATGTGTCTGATACATGGAGGAAAAGATTGGAGAGAAATATTCATCTTTTGAAGTATTAAATATATTTTAGAAATATAAGACTGTAATCACCTGGTTTGTCTTCAACAGCAATGACTGAATTAAACTACAAAAAGCACATGATAATTATAGATGTTCAAAATAAATAGAGATTATAAACAGTCTGCAATTCGTTTGGAATGAAAGCATTTATACATAGAAAAAATAAGCATTTCAAGAACTCACAACATCATTAATACAGAGAAAATCTTAACCAGCTTAAAAAAAAATGCCATATTTTTACACTATCACATTCTTTATGTACTGCATTACTGTGAACAGTGAACTAAATATTTCTTTCAAAATGTTTCTGTAAGCTATCTGTAGGATCGATCCTGTACCAAATAAATAAAATACAGAAAATACATAGTCTTCCTCAAAAGTAGTAACTGACTACACACAAAATATTTTAACAGTGCAACTGTTCATTTTATGCTCTAGTATTTTTAGTAATATGGACACTGTCTTGTTTTTATCCTTTGAACTAGTAGATTTTCCATTGGTAGCATGCAATAAGGATATTACAGAAGAGAGCCAAAAGATATTTTACAAGGTGTGATAAAGAAAATTACAGTAGCTAATATAGATAATTAAAATCTAGATTTTAGACATGTGCAAAAGAGAGCTCTTCAGTTTGGAAATGTTTGAGAACAAGACTTCAAGTAAGGATTTAAACATTGTCGAATACACCAAATAAAGGACTGGGAAGAAGCAAAGCTGATGATTGACTTTCAGTGAAGCTTACAGATATGAAAGAATGTACTCTCATTAAGTACCACTTACTTACTCTCAAATGGGAGACTCAGATGAGTGTTCAGCTGGGAATGATAAAGTCATGTGTTTAGCCTCCTTTTTTAGCTTTTAGTAGTCCTGGCACTTAAAACAGTGGAGGGTAAGTTGCACCTTGACTGCATTTCTCAGTTACAGCAGTATCATTAGATTGTTCTAGGAATCATAACTCATGTTCTCAGTCTCCAGGCAGATGTCACTGAGGAATTCTGTGTGGTTTTGCCTTCTCACACCCTTCTCCTAGCATGAGCTGTCTGTTCTGTGGGATGGAGCAGTTTACCTCATTTCTGAGGTGACCTAATCTCCTGCAGCCAAGTTGGAATTTTCAATATTCTTGGTTCACAGTTTTTCACTCATTTTACAAAGCCAAATTTAAGGCAGAAACACCAGGTATGTTTTTTATTGATATTCAGATTAAAATGACAGATCAGATACTAATAAATGGAAATAGATATACGGACATCATTCAAAAGGCATCAGCTATGTAAAACATGACTTAAGCATGGAAGTTGACAAATAAATTAAACAAAAAAACAACAGATGAAAGTACTTAAAACAAGTAATTAAAGAGATTGCTTAAAATAAACCGTTTCCCTCATGGAGAAAAGATGTGGAGAATAAAAAGCAGTAAACCACTTGTTAAGAAGAATATTTTTTTAAAAGTCCAGGGATGAAGAACTATAACAGGAAGACAACAGGAAGATTAACATTGTCCGGCAAATCAATACAACCATAAGATTTATGCATTTGTCTTCCAAATGCTTATATTTGTTATTAATGTTTTATTAATGACCCAAAAAATATTCTAAAAGTATCTTTAATATATAATAACTTTAAAATGTCCTTCAATTGGGTATTTGTGGGTCTTTCTACTTCTACTCCTACTCTTATTGACCCAGGACCAAGACCATATATATTTCAAACATTTTCCATGTTTCGCCCTTCAGATAGAAAGTATGCCGTGTTAAGATGCAGTTTTTAAGACTATCAAAAAAGGAGTTTGCAGTACATCAATTATTTAATTATGTTGACATCATTCATTCCAATACATAAAAAAAGGGAAAATAAGCATCATATATTGCTAGATGATGCAGAAATAGTGAAGTCTGCACATAAACTTATTGACAAAGTTTTATTCAAGATTAGATTTAAGCTTGGAAATCTACTTTCGAGTGTAATTTGGGTAGCAAGAGACAATGATAAATAGTCATTTCATTTAGCTGATTCAGCGAAACACTTACTGTATGTGCATCCATACACTTCAATGCGCATTCCAATTCTGCCATTGGGATTCCAGTCCAAAGGCACAAAACGGAGAAATCTTGCTTTAATGGAATGCTGAAGCTTATAGTATACGACACTGTCTGCATTTGTGTTTCCAGAAAAGGCCTAGAAGAAAATGAAAAAGAGGTCAGACATATTCATATTGAATACAGAAATATATGGAAGTATTGCTGATCTTTTCATTTTATACCCTCATCTGGCAAACAATCAAGCACAGGAATAAAATATAATCGTTGGTGAATTCTGTAGGAACAACTGCTCAATCAATCTTGATTATTCCTCTGGATCAAGTGTTACATCATCTATCTACCGATGCCACACTCATTGAAAAATCTCATATCTTCTAAAATTTAAGTGAATGAAACATTTCAAAATGAAATATTCCTTTCACAAAATATGTAGAACACTATGGCATTTCACTCTACTGTACTGTCTAATCCTTTTTTGTAAGACAACAGAGTAAGCTCTATGATTTCCTCTTACTGAAAGATTAGATAAATTTAATTGCAAATCTGTTTTTTAGATGTGTAGTATGCTGAATCCAAACAAGTTCTTGTATCGACAGACCACGGTGTTTAAAGACTCTGGCCTCCAACTAAAGAATCCAGAGTACTATAAAAGGATTTTAATTCAGTGTTCTGTTGAAAAACAAAAATCTGCATTTCAACTTTTTTTCCCAGGTGAGATATAAAAAAATTAAGTATTACCATAGAAATATTTTTGGCAGTATTTAACTGATAAACTACTTTCTCATGTTGTTACAGTAAGAAAACGTAACGAAACCTAAAGAAATGTGAAGAATAATGTAGAAAATCTAAAGGGCTGTAATCATAAACTTTAACATCCTAAAGACTGGAGAATATATTTTAATTTTGTTGGTTACATGTTCAGATATTGTGTCGTTTGTTTTTTTTTTTCTCGTTGCCTGTGGTACATGAAGCAGAAAGAATTTATTCAGATGTTTTAGATGTAAATACCTGACAAATTAGACAGAAAAAACTCTCAAATATTTTGATAAGCAGAATTCAGAATTAAAAAGATTATGCATTTCTAGATGTATGAAGAGTACTGTTGTTACAGCTATAAGCCACAGATATTGCAACTGCAGGAGTGTATAGAAACCAACAATTGTAGGTATGCACTTTCTCTTTCTATAAGTTTTGAAGAGGTGAGCTTCATTGCATTCGTTATTTACCCTCCTATACATGAATCTTTGCACTTTCCCTTCCTTGAACTAGTAAAATTTTAGTAAATTCTATTCTCTGAACATTCAAGAGGAAAAAAAAAATTAAAAAAGGAAAAAGAAAAAAACAAGCTAGTGGATAGGCTCATTACAGGCTAACCTATTAAGGCAGCAAAAAGCAGTGAGAGTCAGTGACACTGAATGTCCATACCACTTTCAGCTTCATGCTTTATAATTTCACTATCACAGTGGGTGAAGGTGGAAACATGCTAAAACAAACACTGGAGAAGAGATACTAGTTGGAAGTTGAGATCCTCCCAGACCTCTTGTCCCTTCAAATCCTTATTTGCAGTCTGTAACAAATGCAACTGCCAACAAAAGTGTCAATTAGTTTGTTGGCTGAACCAGAACCCAGGCCCTAGAAGTTTAAGTACTGTAAGCAAATGAAGTGTTCAACTAAGATTTAAATTTTTTCCAAAATAATTTTCTGAGGGCAGCCACCTCATGAAAATTAGTTGTTACGTTTTCAGTACAGAATGAATATTGCTTGATTTTTTTACTGCAGGGTATACTTAAGTCATGTGTTCTTAGTTTAAAATTAGATTTTTGACATCAGTAACAACCTAAAAGTAATTTAAACTACTCCTTAAACCATTCAGAATGGTCAGTTTAGAAATCAATATTTTTAGCTGTCATTTTACAAAGCTTTTATCTGGGAAGAATGCATTTTAAAGCATATCAATCAAGTTGAGTGTTAAATGGGTCCTTATTGTTTGATTTTAAACACGCTGAAGGTTAAAATACCTAGTTTGAGGCTTTTTTCAGTTTTAATCTGTTTCACAAGAAAGAGAATGAGGAGGCAATCAGACAGCTTTTCCTCCAGATTACAAACACTAAAGGCATATCCAAAGCCTATAAAGGTAGCTTGTAGTGTTTTTAGAGGAGGAAAATATTCAATGTGACGGAGACACTCCTGTCTTTACAGTAGAATACAATTACTGTTTCACCTTCCAATCCAGCAATCATTTAAGCACAACAATTATAACCATATAATAAGCTTCC